AAAATGAATAGTGATTTCACCTACCCTCATCACCGTCCAAATTTCATCACGCGGTCACAATTTTTCAGCAGTATCTTTTTTCTTTTTTTTTCTACAAATCGGAATGACCTGAAATTTAGAATATATGTACATCTTACTTGGGCGCATCAAATAAAAATAAAAATAAAAATTATCTACAAAAAAACATTGACCAAAATAAAATAATTTTTTTATTTTTTCGAAGATTCCCCTATTTTTGATGAATACAAGCTCCAAATTTCAGGTCGTTCCAATTTTTTTAAAAAAATGAAAAATAAAACACTACCGAAAAATCGTGACCACGCAATGAACTTTGAACGGTGATGGGGGTAGGCGAAATTACTGTTTATTTTTTCCTATCGGCATTGCGTAGTGTTTTCTATAATTTATATATATATATATATATATGGTAAAAGCTGAGATTAGCCCACTAGTTCATATGAACATATGAGCCCAACGACCCATATTGATGATGGGTCGATTTGACGATCACGAATGTTCGTTAGTGTTTGAATTTTATTTTATTTTCTACATATCCAAATCACTTAAAATTTTAAGAGTGTGTTTATAAAAAATATATGAATATTCAAAAAATATCAAAAAAATATTTTACATGAACTAAATTAACCAAAATACCCCTAAAACGTTTTGGAGGGTATTTTGATCATTTAATTTTTACGAATAATTTTTTTTACATTTTTATTAGGTGAGCCCTGATGAGAAGAACGCATACCTAATATTTCAAGTGATTTGGATTTGTAGAAAAAAAAAATGCAAGCACTACCGGACATCCGTGATCGTCAAATCGACATAGATTCAATCTAGTCCGTTTGGTTCATATGTTCATATAAACTAGTAGGATAATCCCAACTATATGAGAAATGATCCTATAGGACCCTTCTTCACCCATGTGTGTAGGACCCTAAAGAATCACCATTAAATTTGGCACAGATCTATAGAAAAGTCAAGTCCCACACCCATGTGATAAATTTTCTAGATATCCATGCCAACTTTAATGGTGATCCTTTTGGGTGCTACACACATGAGTGGGGGAGGGTCCTATAGGATCATTAATATATATATATATATATATATATATATATATATTGAAAAAGCTAGGATTAGCCC